GAAGGAACGGAGTGTCTGAATGAGAACTCTAGGCAAATACCTTGTTTATTGTGCAGCCCTACTGTATAGGATGCATAACTTACATAATTTTCTGAATCCCGAGTTCAAAACAAGCCCTGCCATCATCTCTGTCAACTGAGCGGCAGATGACAGGAGGATACTGATGGCTGATTAGCTATTTTCAGTGACAGTGTTATCTATGGGGACAAGTGGAGGCCACAGCTCCATCTCCAGCATCAGCTGGTAGACACACTTGCAGGAATTTGTCACATGGCAATTCTCATCTCCCACTCATTAGATCATTCAATACTAGCACTTTGGACAAAGTACCATCTTTAGGTTTGCAGACTGTATTTGGTTTGCTAATACGTTTAACCTCAGTCAAGTTTCCAAGCTCTGTGGGTCTTAAGTTCCTTAGCTATGAAAATAGAAGGAGGGCTGGGGAGATGGCTCAGTTGAGAAAATGCTGTGTTGCAAGCATGAGGACCTGAGATGGATCCCCAGAAACCACGTAGAAAAGCCAGGCGTGATGGTGCGTACTTGTAATCCCAGTGCCTGGGAGGCAGAGACAGGTGGACTCTTGTGACTTGGCTGGCTAGCTAGCCTTGACTACTTAGTGAACTCCAGGCCAGTGAGAGACCCTGTCTGAAAAAAGAAAACAAACGGGGACAATACCTAGAGAATGACACCCAAAGCTGTCCTCTGGCCTCCACATGTGTGCACACACACAGGCACACATACAGACACACACACACACACACACACACACACACACACACACACACACTGGAAATGGCTGAGGTATATGAGTAGTAGAGCACATGTTTAGCATGAATAAGCCCAGGGGTTCAGTCCCATAATTCCTCTCTCAAATAGAGAACAATACCTTCTCTGTAGGATCATTGTATTAAATAACATAATAATTGCTCCACACCTCACAAGCAGTATGCACTCAATAAATTGGGTAATATTATTATAACCTAAGTAAAGGGTTTGTGATGCTTTGTCATACTACATCTTGAAAAGCATTAAGGATTGTTGGTGGGTGATGTAGTGAACTGATTTCTCCTGGATGTGACATAACCATTGACCATCACGGAGCAGAGACTGCAGCGACCTACAGAATACCTTGGCCCTGTAGTGATGGCAATGAAATAAAACAATAGGGGGACAGCTGGACCTATGGAAGGAGGCTGTTAACACACTGTCCTGGTATCACCAGACCCTCACTTGAGATTCCACCCAATGCTACCTTCTGCTCTCTGATGCACATGTGGTCTTGAGGGATGCTACGGTTTATAGAAGGTGGAAGGTTGATGGAGGCACTCCAGTGACGCATCTGCATTTGAGTCATTCATGCTCTTATAAAGAACCCCTACAAACTCATAGTTTCACCAGGCTGGACTGAGGTGGACTCATCTCTTTGGTCTGTAGGTCTGTGCACTCTCTGTGGTGATTAGACATGTTTTTCATCTCCCCAGGAACAGTCCTGCAACAGGTAGTGGTGCTGAGTCGGTGTTATTTTAAGAAAGATGGTAATGAAACACTTTCTGAAAGTTGATAGTTATTTTTAAATGGGGAAAAGAGGTGGGTTTCAGTTTCTTTTGCTCTGAAGAGTACAATATATTTCTCAAAATGCAAGGACTACCTGAATTACATCTGAAATACTTGCTCAGTTGCAGATTTGTGCACCAACTCAGACCTACCAAAAGGGGCTCTCTAAGACTGGGATCTGGATTGCCACATGGTAAACCAGCTTCCTGGGTGATACTCTATCTACAGTGTCCTGGCACATCAGTCCTCAGGACTTGTGTTTCTAATTATTATCTAGGACGTGGTCAGTGGTTACACTGAGAAGTCCACACTTAGCACTTTATCAGAGGAACCACAGGCTTCTTAGTCCCATACTGTTGAGGTAAAAACTTACATTCTTATCTTTCCTACCTCTTTGTACCCTCAACCTTGCTTCCTAGTCAGTTCCCACACAGGTTCTGCAGATGCTGTGGAGGGAGGCATTAAGATTAACATATGAAAGAAAACAGTGACAGAGAAACACACTGGACCACTATCTCCAACCAGGAAGTGACAGCACGTTTGAGAGAAAAACCCTCGCTATGCAGATGTTGAGAGGAGGGTTCATAAATATATAAACCTATAAAGGATCACAGTGCTTATGGCCTGGCACCATTGAGCTTTAGACCTTCTCTAGCTCTGGCTCATTTCTACCCTTGGAAGTGCCTTTCTCCCTTAATAAGCTATTTCTTCTGTTACTTTCCATGTGCTCCTATCTGGGATTCAAGATCTTAGAAATCCCAGCTGTCCAGACTCCAGTATCCAGGCATAACATTTCTTTCTTAAACAACTTTGTATCTTTGTGCCAGAAGATTAAGAGTAAGACTGCGTCTATAGATATAGTTAGTAAAACTGAGCTGAGGAGCTGGCTCAGTGCATGCGAGGACTTGGCAGTCCTATTCCCAGCACCCATGTAAAAGTTGAACATGGCGGTATGTGCCTGTAATCCCAGTGCTGGGTGTGCAGAGATGAGCAAATCCCAGGGGCTTGCTGGCCAGCGGGTGAGCTCCAGGTTCAGAGAGAGACCCCATCTCAAAAAGTAAGGTGGAGAGAAACAGAGGAAGACACTTGACATTGACCTTTTGTCTCTGCATGTACATGCATGGGTGTGTACATCCACCCACCCACCAATGCATACATACGCCACACACACACACACACACACACACACACACACACACACTTAAAGAGTTAATACTTTTACTATTTTTAAAAAGAAAGTGAGTTTATTTAGGACACTGCAGAGAGAACAGAGAATACAATAGTAACAGAAAAACTACTTTCCAAAAGTGAATACTTCTAAATTAAAGGTTATGTAATGTGTTAGTTTATATGAAAGAGCAACATTTGACACATTTGCTTAGGAGATGTTGAAACTGTCATTCAAACTTGAATAGCATTGGAAACATTAAACATCAATAGGTCTTCCCACATTACAGCTTCCTTTGACAGACTCTTGCCTTTTCCCCTCTCCCTTTTAATTTCATTTAGGTAATATATCACTGTTATAACAAGATTTGAGAGAGGCACATACCACATCTTGGTCTAAAAACCCAATAATCACTAATCTTATGAACCACAAAATGATCCTGACCCTCATCTTCATCCTGATAGCCCAGCTGCACCTAAGGAGAAATAAATAGCACAGGACAGTCTTCTCTTTAGACCTCAGGTTTAGAAAATTCAGAGCTGTGTCATTCTTTCACAGTGTAAGTGAAAAGAAAAAGAGCTTTTCAGTAGCAGTAACACACATAGGGTCTGTGCGTAGTGACTTTGGTCTGAGACTCACAAGCTCCAGCCAGCCCCGTGACCCAGCTCCTACTGTCTTCTCATCCACCCACCCACCCATTATATATTCTTCTGACACAGCCTTGAAAAGGACATGGAAGAAAAGAGACTATTTTGCATACATGCTGTGTCAACAGTCACAGCATGCACAGTGATGCTCGCCACCTCCCCCCAGCCAGTCCCCCACCAAATTGTCTTCCAAATGGCGAACATGCACATGGTAATGCATGCCTGTAATCCCAGGAGATTACAGTAGACTTGGAGGTAGAGGCAGGAGGATCAGAAGTTCAAGGTTATCTTCAGCTATATAGTGAGTTCAAAGCCAGCCTGAGGTACATGAAATCCTGTTTCAAAAAACCCAACTAACCAACCAACTAACCATTAAAGTGTTTTTCCTCTGTAAATGGAAGAATTAAGAATCTTCTCCCATCTTCTCCATCCTGTCAGAATGACGGGCCACATTCAGAATGCTGACTGGCAGAAGAGGTGAGAAGCTGGACTTGGAAGATAGATTTGGTCACACGGTGGTTCCCATGAATCTTTGGGAGGGAGAGGGAGCCATGCACAGTGTGAGAGACTGCCAATCTGAGACACATTGTGCGTTAGACCATATGTCACTGACTTTAAGAATGAGTTTTGGACGAGTTCATTCTGAATGTCACTTATGAAAGATGTCTTTGACATTCAGTAGAATTGATGATTGGTCTCTGAGCCATAATGCATTCTGGTCTAGAGAAAGATGTAAATAGTGAAATAAAAATATTTCTCCAGAAAATCTCTATGCTTGGATTTGTCTTTCCTTTTCCATCTTTTGCCGATATTTTTAAAGTCCTATATATGCTTATTCTAATACCATCTGGTTGGTGTAGACTTTCAATGGAGGCTATATTTTCTTCCAGTGCAAGGCTCCAGTCCTATCTGTACAAGCCATGGGGACACTCACTTCTGGGGATGGGAATGCAGGAATAGCTCTTCTGGGACAAAGTGATGCGATTCAAAACTGGCAAAGGTTCTTTTGAATATTAATTATGATGACTTGTAAAAGATAGGAGACTTTTCCATCTGGCTGTCAAACAGTAAGGCAAACCTTAGTCTTGAAATATGAGTTGTTCTAAGTTACCATACAGTTTTAGTTATAAATAATGATGACATTATTATAGTGTATGTTCTGAGAAGAAACAAATTTATCAGCATTTTTTTGAGGGTGGACAAGGAAGGACATCGGGGGAGGAAGAAGCAAGGCTATTTTGTTTGCTTGGAGTTTCCTTTAAATAGCTTGTTTTTATCGAATTTTTGTGTAGTTCATACAGAACATCTCAAACAATCTTAATCATCTTTATACCCCCGTCCCCACTGGTACCCTCCCATAGCCCCCCCCCCACTGGAACCCATAAGTATATGGGTCATCCGTGTTAAGGCCCACTGTGTCAAGTCAGTGTCCCCAGACATTCCCCAGTGTAAGTCCATCCACTGAGGTCTAGTCAGCCTATCTAGAGTTCCTTGTTTTAGGGAGATCAACCTTTTTCACCTAGCAGT